GTCGCCCTCCCCTCCTCTTTCGGACCTATCATAACTGCAACCACTTTTCCACCCAGACTCTCCTGCTATGACAACCGTCTCGGCTCTAGCGATTCAACTCAACCTCCGACCCAAAGGTTTTCTCCCAAGAATCGGACTCGCCCAGCTTGTTGACTGTCACCAAACCTTTCCCCCCCTCGGCGTCTTCCTCTCACTCCTCGTCGAGGGCTTCTTCATGTATCTGTGGATGCATGTGCACGCACACAGGCCAGAGAGCTCCATCTTATCCTTCACCAGGCCCGCTGCCACACCAAGTCAAGACCCTAGTCAGACTTAGATTCAATCCTACCCACCACACCCCCAGTAGGAGACGAGACACCCCCGTACCCTTGCCGGCAGTGTACCTACTTACATGGAAAACATCCGCTCTAGTGTACGGCGGTACATATGTATAGTAGAGGACGGCCCACCACCGCAACGCACCGCACCGCATCGCACCGCACACCTTCCCATCCTTTCGTGCGCAGGACAGTATTACTATCTTGACAAGCCCGCCTACCCCAACCCTGACCTGCTAGCTCTGGCCTCCAAGCCTTGCCTTGTGCGTCGCGGCGTCTGATTCTTGCAGGAGACCGCTTCCTACCCTTCTCTTCCTACTGGTCCGATTCGACTCTCCAGACCTGTCAGGCTTGTCTTTCTCTATCCTCCACTGGCCGGCCGGGTAGATACATCGAATCTATCTCCTCTGCCATCGACACTCTTCTCCTCATCTGATCCTCGCTGTTGTCTCTTTCTCATCGCCACCATCCCTCTGCGGACGCACGCAGATTGAAACATCAATCAACCACCGCCAAACCTGCAGTAAATCGATTGCCGGCCTGCTCCTCACCGTCCAGACGGCGGCACGAGAGAAGAAACACCCTCGGAACCGAGAAGGCGTGAGCGAATCCGGGGGGTCCTGATAGGGTAAAAGATCAACTGACTGGGTTGATGGTTACCGCGTTAAAAGGCAGTTGCTCGTTGCACCCGCCCTCGAACTCGAACCCCCAACACCTGCATCAAGGACCGGCCCTTTTCGTTTAGAAGGCGCTGCAGACAGACAGCCCGAACCCAAAGCCAGACGGGCAACAGCCATTCACAAAGCAGGCAGTCAACCGGACAAGAAGACAAGACAAGACAACCTTTCCTGTCCCTTCCCCCCTCACAACCCAACACGCTTCTGCAGCCTGCAACGCACTTGCATCTAAGTCACCCCCGGGGCCCAGGGCTTCTTGACCTACACAGCAGACCGCCTGCACGCCTGCACTCCTGCACGCCGCGCCTCCAGGAACCAATTGGCCTCCTCTATCATGCATGCCGTCTTCCGTTCATGAAGTTCAACCCACCAATATCTGCTTGCTGGGACCAGGCATCCCCACACTTGCTTGGCCCGAGTGCCATCCCATCAGTCAAGCCAAAGCCATCGGCGCGATCCCCTCTTCGCAATCACCAACCCAGAACCTGGATTGAACAACTACAGGCCACCTAGGTAGCCAAACACACTTGCCGCTTGGAGCCTTGTCGAGTTGGCTCGTTGGCTCTTCCTGGAACTCGACCGAGTCATATAAACAATGGACCACTCCATCGTGGGCACCACCACTATGGATCAAGACAACCACATGGCTCAAGACGAAGACAGCCATATGTCACAGAGCCACACATCCTTCGGCAATGAGAGCTGGAACGACATGAATTCGTACACTCACCAAACCACAATGCCGGACTACGGCCCATTCGGCGCATTCATGCCTACTATGCCTCACGGCTTGCCGTCTGAGTCGATTGGCAGGATGCCTCCTCCTCCGGCGCCCCCTCAACCGATACAGCCTCATCATCAACAATCCCATTCACAGCTACCAATGCTCATGATACCGTCTCAACCAACATGGCCCAGCATGTTGACGAATCCAAACAGCTACTCAGCACCACCTTTGGGCATGGCTCCCGTGGTCCCTCCCGCGCCCGCCAGGACGGGGAGACACGGCAACGGTGCCCAACCCCAGCAGCGAAGGGTCTTGACGGACGAAGACAGGAAGAAAATGTGCCAGTACGCGGCCGAACATCCCAACGTCAAACAGACTGATATCGGTGCCATGTTTGGGGTTGAGCGCAGGTAGGCCTTGGTACCAAGACTGGCAACGTGGAATACGGAACTGACATCCTGCATAGCACTGTATCCAAGGTCCTCAGAAACAAGGAAAAGTACCTGAATCCTGAGGCGGACAGAAGTCAGTCCCCCGCCGGCAGACGCCATGCCAAAGGCAAGTATCCGGACATCGATCGCGGCGTCGTCTCCTGGTATAGGAAACAGGTCCAAGCAGGGTTAACTCCAAGTGATGAAGAGATCCTGGAGCAGGCTAGGCACTTCTCTACCAACGGTGGCGGTGAAGCAAATCAGACAAAATCGATCAACGCCACGTGGCTCGAAAGATTCAAGCAGAGAAACATCCTCCCTGGAGGAAGGCTCTCGCGAAGGGCATCGGAAACGAACATCACGAACCACGCCAAGATCTCTGGCTCTCCATCCTTAGGAGCATCTGGTATCTCCCCAGCATCGCCAACAGGTCATCAGTCCCCTCTGTCCGCTGACAGAAGCGACGAAGACGTTGTTCACGGTCTTGGTTTTGTCAGCTATGGAGACGGCCCAGCATACAAACATTCCAACTCTCAAAGCACTACGTCTCTCAACAGTGCCTTGACCGATGCGGCCAATTCATCCTTCTCTGGAAGTGCTCTGAGTCCAACGGGAACCTTTACCTTCTCCCCTGACCCCAACGCCGGAGCTTTCTTACCCCCTGATTCGTCTCGTCAGATGCACGGAGTCGCTTCAAACTTCCAAAGGCCCAGAAGCCAGACGTTTCCGAACATTGACGTTGAAGCAATGTACCAGACTGCAACGACTGAGCCCATGACTCCGAAGTACCACCCAGCATCGACTGCCCCGTCTTCTGCACTCGAGTCACCGATCTACGAGATGGCGGCACCGCACTTTGCTCTGGATACCGCAATCACATCGTCTCCGCATCTGCACCACAGCAGCAGCAACAGCAGCATGGCCGGCCGATCAGCGACCACGCCTGCAGGCTCTTCTCCAACATCCCCGACGCAAGAGGAGGCCCGAAGAGCGGCCGACACGTTGCTGAGCTTTTTCTCCAGCACAGCTGCGAGCGGTTTGGTCGACCAGAAGGACTATCAGGGCCTGCTCAAACTGACGGAGAAGCTTCGAGTGAATTCGCAACATGCTGCCAAATCTTCGGTGGGCGGCTTGGATCGGATTCCCGAGGGCGACACTGAAACTCTTACTCATCACCCAAACCACATGTCTTTTGAAGTCAAGCCCGAGGCAGTTTTGACCCAGTAAAGGCCCGCAATCTTTTCTTCCCAGCGAGCACTCCATCGTTTGCTCAGGCGTTATGTCTTGCTTTTATTTTGGGCCTGGGCATGGACGGGGTAAGGTACAGGGACGAAGCCACGCCATTAACGCGTGAGTAACAACAGAACAGCGACCATCATCATGGTCCCACAAACCCCTAGACCCTGCGAGGGTTCTGCAAAGAACAGCTCACACTCGCCGGGATCGGGTTACGGTTTCGAAAACATCATCGGCAATACCTACACGGTCAAATGTCTCGCGACAGCCACTTCACTCCCACGACCGACATCTTGAGCATCTTCCATCCCCGGCCCCCAGTCTCACGACATCGAAATATGGACACAACATACCTTATCATTACAGAGCCAGAGGACAAGATTGACAAAAGACGAGGTCATGGAAGGACCACTCACTCCAAACTTCAACATATTCTATATACCCCAATTTCGCATCCTTATCCGCCGCTCATCAAGGAAAAGACCTTGCCGCTCACGCGAACACCGAAAATTCCCACCTTGCGCGACCTTTGCAAATACTTGTTCTTGGTTTATTTCAGTATCTGTCTCTTTTTCTCCGTCATTCAGCACACCGTTTCCAAGCGCTCTGTTATCTGCCCCTTTCCTTGTTTTCTTTCCTTCGCTATATCGACGATTCGCAAACGAACTCGCCACTGTATTATTTCCCGGGTTTCCTCAGACGCAGCTGCATTGCGAGATAAGGGGGTTTGGGATTAGGTCAGGGAGATTGGCTGGGGTAGCCAGGCATTGGGAGAAGGGAACACGGGAGCCCTCAAGGGATCATCACTTCATCATCTACGGACATCATCTATGGACATCACATAATCGGACAATCGGACGATATCTGGACGATTTTCTGACAGGAGAGGGAAACCGAGAAAACAAATGGCAGGAGACCCGTACAGAGGAAGGGAGGCCAGAGGATGATGGGGAGACGACGGAGAGGGGTGGAAAGGCATTCCACCTCCCGAGTCTGAGGTCAGGAAACTGAGGCCTCCTTGGCTACGAAAACGGCCAGAGCAGCCAACCCTAAAGAAGACTCGCGTTACCCCGGCCAGAGTGTGCGCGAAATCCGAAAGACAAGAAAAAAAAACGGGCGGCCCCTTTTGCATTTATTCCTAGGGATTAGCCCCTTTTTTTTTTCGTCCCCTCTACGACTGGTCTACAGAAATTACAAAAAACATCGTTTCTCCCTCGATGAATGCGTTGACAATGAGATGGCCGTGACGTTTGGAAGGGTTCACCCCAACCAGTGCAAGGAGAAGACTATCGTGATGTATGCGAGCGAGCGTTGGGGTTGCAATGGGGATAATAATCCTCGCCCACCCTCCGTGATATTGTCTTGTGTGTGTAACTCAGATTCGCTTCTGGAAACCGATATACACTGAAAAAGCAACATGGCATGTAAACGGTGTGATGTGAGACTTGGGTGGCATTCTGTGTAACATGTGGCGGTCATGATCGTGAACACCGTTGAACATTGCTAACATCGTGAAATCAAAACACTTCACTATCTTGGCAGAAGGGTATCTAGACTAAACGGGGGTCAAGGCGAAGCACCAAAAAAAAAAATGCATGGCAGCACACGAAACTCATAGGCTCAATCGTTCCTCCCACAGCTCAACCACCCCCTTCTCCGCCAGCTCGGGCATCAGTCTCACCAGGATCAACTCCAACATGCCGTACACAAAGTGTTTGTTGCAGTATTCGTCCGAAAAGACGTCGAGGATGCCCTCCTCAATCTCGGACAGCATCTGCTGCTGATCCTCATCGTCTTCAGGAGGCTGCGACTTTGTGCTGTTCTCGTCACCTGAACTATCGCAGTCGCTAGTGCCGGTGGCGACCGCCTCGACGTTGGCATCCCTGCTGCTGCCAGTACCAGAGCCAGAATCACCGGCCGCGGCGGTGTTATCCCCGCTAGCCCCAGCTTCTGCTGCTGCTGCTCCTGTTGCTCTAGAGTCCGGACCGGACCGCCACCGGAGGCCAAGGCCTCGCCCGCCTAGGTAGAGCCTAGCCAGCCACGGCGGGATTCTGGCTAGAACCGCGCTAGCGCACCTGCGGCGCAGGGCACGCAGCTCCTGATCGGAGGAGGGGGCCACCAAGGTCGAGACGCCGGGAGCGTTGTTGGGAAAGAGGGCGGCGCGGATGGACCGAAGGAGGGTGGGCAGGTACGCGGCGTCGAGAACCCGTTGGTGTATGGTATGCGAGATGAGCCTATAATTCGCGCGCGACGCGGCAAGCGCCTTCATGTCAGTCCCGGCTTTGCTTCCGACTCGGACAATCGCAGTTCATGCGTGGGGGCTACAGGGTCTTTGTGTGTGAAGTGAGAGGATCTGCGGGAGGGGAATCGAACGAGAATGTGAGGCGCAAGACATTGGAAATGAATGGAAACAACTGAGAGAAAGGAAACACGAAATCAACAGGGGTTAGACACGGCTGACGACGAGCGAGTGTTGGAAGGGCCGCGCGCATGTAGAGCAGCATGCGCCAAAAGAGGGGATACAAGTGAAAAGCTTGGTACGCTGGAGGCGAAGGTTGCGTCTGTGTCGCAAGGCAGGCAGAATATTTCCCCTGTCCGTCCAAGATCCGTAAATGGTTGCTGATGCTCCCCGGGCAAGGCTACCGTCTCTCCCCGTAATTGTGTGTGATTTCCATGCGTCGGAGGGTGTGACGTCCAGTTCTTTCGGGCCCCAGAACCAGGGCTCTGTAGCAAGCCATGCAAGGACGAAGATTCGAGCTGTCAACGAGACATATCTCGTCTTTCCATATTAGGCCAGCCGTCATGTCGCCAACTGTCGAATCGGATGACGGTTGATAGACAGCTAGCCGCTGAAAGAGAGCAAGCTGCTAGCCTGCTTCACGGGACGGATCGAGTCAGTGGCTGCGTGCCGCTTCAGCAAACTAGGTGCACTGACAGGCGGCCATTGACGAAGCCCGTGGGGAGCCCCATGATGATACTGCTAGTGAACGCGGCCCCGTCACCAGCAGCAAGAATGATGCCAACCCGTGTACCGACTTCTGACGGTGTTTCTGGCAGGCTGATGCGGTGGGGCGAAGGGGAAGCGAGGGCGTGAAGGTTGAGTGACTGAGTGCCGGGTCTCCGTAGGTGTGCGTGGATGAAGGAGATGACGGTGGTGACCAGACCCTTGTAAGTCGGTGCTCGTTGTTGGAGCTGGGCGCGTAAATGAGGCTTCCTGGTGGATGGAAGCGCAGCCCCGCGACAACCTATCAAGCAAATCGGAGGCGAGCAACGTCGATTCCCTCTGCGATTGGTTGGTGCCCATGAGGTCCTGCAAGTGCGACCGTAGTCTCGAGAAATCGGGGTAGGAGGTCAAGTCTGGGTTGGGTCGCAGAATAGGCCGGGTGGGGGGTGTCGCACAGCATATTTCGGCTTTTTTCGCGCAGCATTCCAAAGGACTCGACCACTTCACTGCACGCACCCCGAACCGTGTCGTTACAGCTTGTATCAAGTCCATCGCCGAATGTGCCTTCTCAGCAGCCCACTAGGCAATTACTGAAGCAGCTCTCATCTTGCACTTGTTCGACTGAGCGTTTCCGTGTGCTCACTGGAGCGAAGCCAGGTCAAGTGACTTGAAGCTCATGTGGTGTGACGTGAATTCGTCTGGAAAGGGAGGGAGGAGGAGGAGGAGGATGGATGCCTACCTGTCCATGGGTCCGTTAAGGGCGGCGACCCGGCCTGGACCTTTCATAGCTCCGAGCTGAAGCATCGAGAGCGTTCCGCTCAACCAAGGCATGCGGGCGTCCAGTTCGATCAGGTCGGATATGCAGGTCCAAAGCTTGAAGGCGAAGATGGGAGTCTTCACTGGTTGTGCTTCGTCTAAGCCCGTGAGTGCATCAGGCGCTTTTGAATCTGATAACTGACTCGTCACCTCGTGTTTCTCATTGTAGGCAACATCTGCTCTTGGAGGCAAGGATGAAGACATGGCGAGAGTGGTGACAATCAGGCGTATCATTGCAAATGACAGAAAACACCAGTGTACGAAAGACCAAAATACCCCTTGGATTGACCAGCTGCGGCGAGCCGGTCTAGGCAGAGGAGCCGCTGACCCGGCCTGCACCGCCTCTGCAACATCTTCCTCGATGGGTTCAGACTTGCGTTCAAGGACTCTCGTGAGAATAATCAGGCATTCGTAAATAAGCCATGGCTGAGACAGCCGATTGGCCAAGACATTGCCAATGATTAGCTCAGAGAAGATTTGACCGACCAAGGAGGTTAGGCAGTCGTTTTCGAGGTCTTCGGTTGGCAGCAGTACGGCCAAAACGCCTTGTACCAACAACTGGCGGTAGATTGCCTCGTTCTCTTGCTGCTTCGCAACGGTCTCTGGTTGGTCTGGCCGTGGTATTGGTGACAAGGGCGCCACTGGGCAAAGTGCGTGGTAAACTTCTCGTGGGTCTATCTCCGTTGGAGGCCTACATACGGGGTCATGCGCTGCGCGATAGGCTGAAAGGTGGTGTTAGTGCATGTGGAAACGAGCGGACAAAGAGCAGGCTTACCGATGATATGTTTGTCAAGCAAGTCGGGAAGCTCGTCGAAGAGCAGGCTTTCTAGATCGACCTTCCGCAGCCGTTGTTCCAGAGCTCTGGTACAATGGGCTATGATCTGGACAATCTCGTCGACAAAGGCCTCATCTGGTGTGATCTTGCTGTACCAGGCCTGTACGTATTCCCTCAAAATGACAGCAATCAGGGCGTATAGCTGAAGGTCGACGTCGTTTCGACTTGTCAGGGGCGGCAGCAGCTCCTCAATCGGGGGCGGGGTGGTTCTCTCCTTATCGGATAGCTGTTGGGAACATAGGACACGACGGATGAAGGCGGCAGTGGCCCTGTCGGAGAGGAAGTCGGTAGGGGCTGCGCGAATTGATCGGCGAGCGGAAGGATTGCTCTGCAACTGCGGACGGAGACGTTCGGTAGCGGGGGTCGAGGGTGTCGGGGCAAAGGAGGTGATGTCGTTCGCGAAACTGACTGTTGCGGGGGCTTTCGGGCGCGGCGTGGGTGCGCGAGGAGTAGCGACAGCTGTCATGGCCGTCTAACGTCTGTAAAGCCGCAGTCTCATGGTATGACTAGGTATCAAGGGCGACCGGGCGCATGCGACCAGCACAGAAGAGTTGACGAGGAGGAGTTGTCGTCGACTTTGACTTGCATCCAGCTAGATTTCGGACGACGCTGATCTGTGCTGTGACGGATCAAGGTGAAGTGACGACGGGACTGGGGACCTGCCCCCGGCTCCCAGGTTAATTACAGGGAATGCTGGTCTGCCGTTGCAGGTGCAAAGCGGCTCAACCTCCCGCAGCTGTGACCCCGTGCGCTGCAGGACGGCGCCCGGACCTTACATAAGGCAACCTAAGCTAACAGTAGCTGAGGAAGCTGCGTCTGCAAAGGAACGCCGCTGGCATCAGTTTGTCCAACAGGAACAAGACAGAATTTTCTAGAAGCGATTATTACCTTGGCATCGATATACACATACAATATGGGAAAAGTTGATGGCGAACTTGCTGCTTCTCATCGATGCGTGCATGGTACCTCTGAATACTCCACAAACAGCAACGTCTAGACTCATAATTTCACAGGGTCAAGAAAGCGTGTCGGGTGCAGTAGAGTCGGCTTAGTTTTTCCCCTCCTTTTCTCCCCGCCTCCTGTTGTACAATGCACGTGTCGTAAGCAGTATAGTACACTTATTTACAACGCCTCTCTATGCACGGCCTAGTATCATTACCAGTACCCTCCAGCCCCCTTAGAGATCCTTGGTCGCCGTTTCGTACCTGTTTGAGTCAGTATTATTGTTCAAGACCATGCTGTTGTACAACATACCTCTTTCCACGGAATGCCCAGACTCCCCAGTTTCCGCAGCTGACGTCCTGAGGATCGAGGTCGTTGAGATCCCACCTCAGACTGCGGAAACGGTTCTCGCCGGGCTCCAAAAGGATATCGAACTCGCCAGCAGCGGTCTTACGAACCCACTCAATATCTCTCTCCATGTCGAACTGGGTGTATCCTGTGGCAATGATGGGAAGCTTCGTCTCAAGAAGCATCGGCAGAGTCTCGGACCATTCGTGGCTGCTCGCTGGGTGACCCAGGCCGGGGTGGAAAAGGCAGAAGCAGTCAAAGTACGGATCATATGGCGCAAAGTATCCCGTCTTGTGGATGGTATGATAGTAGTCCACAATAGTGCTGATCTTTAGCTTGTGGGATATCCGGTCTTCAATCACCATGCCAAATGGATTCTCGGGTGTTCTGGGGGGAAGCGGGAATTCGTCATCCCTGTTCGCCATACTTTCAGGGCCGATGAAGATGAGGTGGATCTTGCTCTCGGGGAACAGATGCGCCAGCTGAAGCCAGACGTTTCTCGGAAGCGATGACTCGGCGCGAGCGCCCAAGCAGAACACTCTCACAGGCGGCGCCTCAGGACGAAGGTCCTTCATATCTGTGCCCTTTCCTGAAAGAGGAGGGTGAAGTGTGTAACGCAAAGCTGTTCACTCATGAGCTTCTTGATATCACAAGCTTCGCGACGAAGGACCTACCACTCAAACTCTTCAAACCCTCGCTTGTGAGCCTTTCACCCTGCTTTACGCTGTACGGGCTGAGCTCATGCAGAATGCTGCCAATAGTAATGGGGTACGTAAGCATCTTCGTGACCTGCCTCATGCTACGCTCGTCGTTGATAGCCTCGAACTCTCGGCTGTACATAAACGTGTCCCAGTTGGTCATGTTAACAACGGCCTCCGGCATTTGGTCGTCGGCCATGACAAACTCTGGGAAAGCACGGCCAGACCGCAGATCATGGTCATCCTCATTGATCTCCTTCAAAGTGTCGCAGATCTCAAGATGTGCCTCGTAATTATCCATCCAGTGCTCCTTGCTGCAGTAAACAGGAACTCCACAGTCGGGGCATTCGAAGTCAACATGCGCCGGCGCAAGGTTTCCAGTCTGATGTGCGTGCTCATCGCCCTGCGGTGCAATCGTGGGTACACGAGTTGCTCTATGGTCTGGGTGCGGGCAGTACGCATGTTGTCTCATGAAAGCCGCTCGACGCCGGATCTCGGGAATGGGCGAGTTCGTGAAGGAGTGGAAAAGATCGTCTGAACGGAGCTTCCGGGTTGTCGTCTCGGTGCTCGCAGGCTTAGCAGCGGCTGCCTCGCTGGAGGCCTTGGCCGTTGAGGAGAATTGCCTCGTCGCATTATTCGCCTTCGATTTCCTCGGAACGGTGGAATGTAGACCCCTCGTCGAGTGGGCTGATGCGATTCTGGAAACGGTTCTAACACCGCTGTTGGAGATCAATTGCCTCCTCAATGTCGCGGAACATTGTCCGCAGACGCTGGAGGCTGCTCGTCGCAACGCCGGCTCCATCTTTGCCAATACCGAACTGTGAGATGCGGCGTGCGGCGTGTGTCGACAATAGCTATGACCAGTGTATGCATTCCAGAGCTCTGCCCGCGGTGGGTTGACCCGAAATTTTGGGTGGCCCGGATCAACTAGATGCCGGATGTGGGTCTCCACCGAACTTCGTTTCGAGCAGTTGCCAAGTGGGAACCTACAGCTTCTGAAATTTTGTACTGGAGCTCTCCAGCCTCCTAGCCCACCTTCACTTCAAAACACCACCGCGTCGTGTCTCATCATCCAGTCGAGCTCGAACTCTGAGGCCGCGCAGGCTTTCTGCGCCCACCTGCAAACATGGCGACGACCTCGAACATGTTTCTTTACTCCCTGACCCTTCAGCCGCCAACCAATGTCACTTTGGCGGTGTTGGGTCAGTTCTCTGGAACGAAGGAGCAGAACATCGTCACGGCGTCTGGATCGCGCTTGACGCTCCTCCGACCCGACCCGGCCCAGGGCAAGGTCATCACCCTGCTTTCGCACGATATTTTTGGCATCATTCGGTCCATGGCCGCCTTCCGGCTGGCAGGAAGCAATAAAGGTAAGTTTTGTTCCTCGTTCCATTTGAAGCTTCACTTAGTGATTCGAGAAGCTTGCCAGTCGCGACGCGCGTCACTGAAGCCATTGTCGCTCAGTGCTGGCGATACTTGATCTTATCGAAACTTTGCTGACCTCGTGTCAAAGACTATCTCATTCTTGCGACTGACTCTGGAAGGATCACAATCGTCGAGTACATCCCCGCGCAGAACCGATTCCAACGGCTGCACCTAGAGACCTTTGGAAAGTCTGGAGTACGACGCGTGATTCCTGGAGAATATCTTGCTTGCGATCCCAAGGGCAGAGCTTGTCTCATCGCCTCGGTCGAAAAGAACAAACTTGTCTACGTTCTGAACCGAAACGCTCAAGCCGAACTCACCATCTCCTCGCCTCTAGAGGCGCACAAGCCTGGCGTCTTGGTATTATCCATGGTTGCGCTCGATGTCGGTTACGCGAACCCCGTTTTTGCTGCCCTGGAGATAGAGTACACGGAGGCAGACCAAGATCCCACGGGGGAGGCCGCTCGCGAAGCTGAGACTCAGCTGGTGTACTACGAGTTGGACCTGGGACTCAACCATGTTGTCCGAAAGTGGTCCGAGCCTGTCGACCCAACAGCATCTCTACTTTTCCAAGTTCCTGGTGGTCAAGATGGCCCCAGCGGTGTCTTGGTGTGCGGAGAGGAGAATATCACCTACCGTCATTCAAACCAAGAGGCCTTCCGCGTACCGATACCACGGAGACGTGGCGCTACGGAAGATCCTTCAAGGAAACGCCACATTGTTTCTGGTGTCATGCACAAGCTCAAGGGCAGTGCTGGAGCCTTCTTCTTCCTACTCCAGACGGAAGACGGTGATTTGTTCAAAGCTGTGATCGATATGGTTGAGGACGCAGACGGCAATCCTACCGGCGAGGTTAAGAGGCTCAAGATCAAGTACTTTGATACTGTGCCGGTGTCGTCCAGTCTGTGCATTCTCAAGAGCGGCTTCCTGTATGCTGCTAGTCAGTTTGGCAACCACCAGTTCTACCAGTTCGAGAAGCTCGGAGACGATGACGAAGAGAAGGAATTCTCCAGTGACGACTTCCCTGCCGACCCCAAGGCTGGTTACGACGCAGTGTACTTCTATCCCAGGCCACTTGAGAACCTGGCTCTGGTAGAGAGCATCGACTCAATGAACCCCCTCCTCGACTGCAAGGTCGCAAACCTCACTGGCGAGGACGCGCCTCAAATCTACACAGCATGTGGAAACGGCGCTCGCAGCACGTTCAGGATGTTGAAGCACGGTCTGGAGGTTAATGAAATTGTTGCCTCGGAGCTGCCCGGTATTCCTTCAGCTGTGTGGACGCTCAAGCTGAGCCGTGGCGATCAGTACGATGCCTACATTGTGCTGTCCTTCACGAATGGAACCCTTGTGTTGAGCATTGGCGAGACCGTCGAGGAGGTTAGCGACTCAGGATTCCTTACCTCGGTGCCCACGCTAGCAGCGCAACTACTTGGTGAGGATGGCCTGATTCAGGTCCATCCCAAGGGTATCCGTCACATCCGCCACGGACAGATCAACGAGTGGGCCGCCCCTCAGCATCGATCTATCGTTGCTGCCACGACCAATGAACACCAAGTTGCTGTGGCCCTGAGCTCTGGTGAGATTGTATACTTTGAGATGGATGGCGATGGATCTTTGGCAGAGTACGACGAGAAGAAAGAAATGTTCGGCACCGTCACCTGCCTTAGCTTGGGAGAGGTCCCGGAAGGACGTCTCAGAAGCTCGTTCCTTGCAGTGGGTTGCGATGACAGCACGGTTCGTGTTTTGTCTCTAGATCCCGATTCGACCCTCGAGAGTAAATCGGTGCAAGCCTTGACTGCTCCTCCTTCATCCTTGGCTATTATTGCCATGGATGACTCTTCTTCTGGCGGCTCAACCCTATACCTCCATATCGGACTTCACTCTGGTGTCTATCTGCGGACGGTGCTAGATGAGGTTACTGGAGAGTTGACAGATACTCGGCAAAAGTTCCTGGGCCCCAAGCCCGTGCGACTCTTCCAAGTCACCGTTCAAGGACGGACGTGTGTGATAGGATTGAGCTCACGTCCATGGCTTGGATACTCCGACCCCATCACTAGAGGTTTCGTGGTTACTCCCCTCAACTACGTGGACCTGGAATGGGTGTGGAACTTCAGCAGTGAGCAATGCGAGGAAGGTGTTGTTGGCATTCAGGGCCAGTCCTTGAGGTAAGCATGCTCTTTCTTTCTCTTTCCCTTTCCCCCTTACCATGATGAGAATTGGATTCCTACGCCAAAGTGCAGTGAGGTCTTACGCAATTTTTACCAATTGTTCCTACTGAAGGTTCTTGTTTCATTGGCATCTTTCGAACATTCACTTCGTGGCCCGTCGCTAACAAGAATCAGGATTTTCGCCATCGAGAACCTTGGAGACACCATCACACAAAAGTCAATACCCCTGACCTATACTCCAAGGCGCCTTCTAAAGCATCCCGATCACCCCATGTTCTACACCATAGAGTCAGACAACAACACACTGCCTCCCGATCTCAGGGCCAAGCTCATCGCGGAGCCTGGAGTGGTGAACGGCGACGCAACCGTTCTCCCGCCTGATGAGTTTGGATATCCCAAGGGCAAAGGTCGTTGGGCATCCTGCATCAGTGTAATTGATCCATTGTCGGAAGAGCAACGAGTATTGCAGACCGTTGATCTCGACAACAATGAAGCAGCGGTCAGCGCAGCCATTGTCTCTTTTGCCAGCCAGGACAACGAAAATTTCCTGATCGTTGGCACAGGGAAAGACATGATTGTCAACCCGCGACAGTTCACGGAAGGATACATACACGTATACCGCTTCGGCGAGGACGGCCATGAGCTGGAATTCATCCACAAAACCAAGGTCGAAGAACCTCCCACGGCTCTTCTGGCCTTTCAGGGCAGACTGCTCGCTGGTGTCGGCAAGACCCTCAGGATTTACGACCTGGGTCTACGACAGATGCTCAGAAAATCACAAGCAGATGTCGCGCCGCAGTTGATTGTGTCTCTGAGCACGCAAGGAAGCCGCATCGTCGTGGGTGACGTACAGCACGGTGTCACCTATGTCGTCTACAAGCCCACCACCAACAAGCTCATCCCATTCGTCGACGATACAATTGCGAGATGGGTTACCTGCACAACCATGGTAGACTACGAGTCGGTCGCCGGAGGAGACAAGTTCGGCAACATGTTCCTCGTTCGTTGTCCAGAGAAGGCGAGCCAAGAAGCCGACGAGGAGCAGGCTGGTTTGCACTTGCTGAACACCAGGGACTACCTTCACGGCACACCTCACCGTCTCAATCTTCTCAGCCACTCCTACACCCAAGACGTGCCGACAAGTATCACAAAGACCAGTCTCGTCGTTGGTGGCCAAGACGTCCTGCTTTGGAGCGGGATCAACGGAACCATTGGCGTCTTCATTCCATTCGTCACCCGCGAGGATGTCGATTTCTTCCAGAACCTCGAGCAGCATATGCGCACCGAAGACGCGCCACTCGCAGGCAGAGACCACCTCATGTACCGCGGCTACTACGTCCCGGTCAAGGGCGTCATTGACGGCGACCTCTGCGAGAGATACACACTCCTGCCTAATGACAAGAAGCTGATGATCGCCGGCGAGCTGGACCGGTCAGTGCGGGAGATTGAGAGGAAGATTTCGGACATTAGAACACGTTCCGCCTTTTGAGGGGGCATATAAGCGGTGGTTTATCAGCATCCATTTCTGGGAAGGAGACTTCAAATGTTACGTGTATTGTACAAAGCGTAAGGTATATGGTAGCGGCGTTTCATACAGGCCAAAGAGCCGTTGGGTTGTACAGGACATGATGACGATGCAATGAACAAGAGGTCTAATAATACCAATCCCCCCAAAAACGCCTGTCAATCTCGTGTGAATCAATCAATCATCCGCAGCCTCACGCAGATCCCCTCCAGAACGGCCCCCGGTTCTTGGGCGCGCTCTTGTCCTTCCCACGTCGGCCACCCTCTTGCACGGGATGGTCCCTCTCCCACGCCTCGTCCGCGGCAAACGCCTCCATCGCTTCATCGAGATCATACCCGGCCTGCTCGAGATACAGCACGGCAACGTCGTAGTCGGAAACCTTGCACCCGGTCATGAACCGCCGGATCTTGCTCTTGCGCAGCTCCTCCTCCTCGCCCTCGATCGGCCGCGGCGACAGGCTGATGCCGGCGGCGTAGTACTCCCCCGGGATCAGCACCGTCCTGCGGCCCTGCAGGAGGTGGTCGCTCGTGATGTTGTTGGCGCGGCGGAGGACGGCGGCGGGGACGCCGTAGCGCAGCGACAGGGAGGCGACGGTGTCGTGCTCGTGGTTGAGGAAGTGCAGGGTGTCCTCGGGCGGCGTGGCCATGGCGGACGAGCCGGCCTTCTCGTCGTCGACGGGGA